GTATAAAAGAAGAATCAACCAAGCCTATATAAACTAGAGACTAGATTTCATTTTTGATAACCCAAGCTGCAAAAATGGGTTTTCTTTAGGACCTGCCTTTCTTTGCCATTTTAGGATTCTTGCACATACGAATACTACTAGGCGTAACCTCGACCAGTTCATCCTCTTCAATGTATTCGATGCAGTCGTCAAGACTATAAGTCAAGGGAGTGTCAAGAACCACTGTAATTCAGAAAAAAATGACTTGTGAGCAGATGGATTTTTGAAACTTGCACAAGTTATAATAACATATATATATATAAATGAAATACCTGTTACATCTTTATTGGAGCGTATGTTTGTCGCTGCTTTCTTCTTGCAGATATTAAGGCCCAAGTCTCCGGGTCTCTGGTGGATCCCAACTATCTGACCTTTGTATACATCCACTCCTGAACCTACAAACATTTGCCCTCTCTCTTGCGCACTTGCCAGAGCGTACGATGTTGATGTTCCATCTTCAAAGGCAACCTGAAAATCCCACTTCCCTATTCAGTAACCATAAATGACTGGCAAAATGGCACTTGTTTCACCAAATGTTTACTTTTTCATAGTTTGCGACCATTTCACTCATTTTTCCCAAACAATATAATTATAAAGATTGCTGCTACTTCCTGTAAACTATATCAACTCCCTAACTTACCAGCGAACCCAGATCACGGGTGCTAATATCGCCAGCCCAAGGTCCATAACTGTCGAATATGGTGTTGAGGATAGCTGTCCCACGAGAAGCTGTTAAAATTGCATTCCTCAATCCAAGAAGTCCACGTGTTGGGATTTTGTACCGCAGAAAGATTGTTCCTTCTGACCTGTAATTCAGGATTCACATGCATAGTCAGATTGATCTTAAACACTGCAAATCTCTCTCTCTGACACACACACATACACAAATCAAGGCTGAATGAGAAATTAACATGACATCATGTACTGTTGTTCTCATATAAATGCAATGGAGAAAAGCCTTTTCATGGACCTGCTTGAGAAAATGACAATAAGCTTCTCAAAGCAATAACAAGTCTTGTGCATTATCATACGGTGGTTACATTAAAATATAATATCACCAAAGTGCTGCTATAAAATAAAGGGATGGCAAGAGAAACTACACATACCCAACACCCTGCATATCAAACATCTGTCCACGCCTTTTGCCAAGAAGTTCAACAACAGGCCCCATGTGATTCTCTGGTACTTCAACAGTTGCTATCTGAATTGGTGGATTTTGAAGTCAGATAGGTTTTATTAAAAGCAAAAGTTCTTTTCAATGGGCAGACAACTAAACCAAGGATTCAAATCAAATTGAAACCATTGTTTCATAACTTGCTGCTCATTCCTTCAGTGGGAAAATAATGGAGCTAGTCAGAAACTCACCTCATATGGCTCCAGCAATTTATCATTAACTCTTTTGTTGATAACTTTCGGGGGTCCAACCATAAATTCATATCCCTCTCTTCGCCTGGAACATATTACCCATTCAGCTACTTGTGATTTCAAATTTGAAAGGAATGATGGCCGGTGAAGTACTTACATGTTTTCTATCAGGATGGTAATGTGTAATGTACCTCGCCCACTAACAATAAATGTGTCTGCTGTCTCACCATCTTCCACTTTCATAGCTAGGTTTCTTTCAAGTTCACGGTTTAAACGATCTCGTAAGTTCCTGCTCGTCACATATTTCCCCTACAGAAAAGGAAAATGTTGCACTAATCTAAGTTAACGACTTCTCTCTTAATATCTTGTAGCCATGCATTCATGGAAAAATGAGCAAGATATCATGACAGTCATATCAGCCATGCTTAAACCTACCTCACGACCAGAAAACGGAGAGGTGTTTACAGAGAAGGACATTTTCACAGTTGGCTCTTCTACTTTGATTGTAGGTAGAGGCTTCCCGTGTACTTTATCAGCAATAGTCTCCCCAATCTGCAAATTTATGGGGTAACAAAGACAGACTCAATAAGCAACAATTAATTATAAGTGTCAGCAATTATCCACCACTGTTACAACAGTCTCTCGCATTTGGCATCAAATTATGCATATACATGTACCTGAATGTCGTCTATGCCACATACAGCGCAAATATCTCCAGCTGCCACTGAATCAACGGGTACTCTGTAGAATTTCTCATAAACAAAAAGCTCACTTACTCTTGCAAATCTACAGGAATCTTCAGAAGTGCACACCTGTAAAGTTATACCCAATAAGTCTACTATAAAACCATATCAATTCTGAAAGAAGACTTCATATTGAATTCTCGCTCGTTCTTAAGGTTAGGGCGCCATCCCCCATTCAGTTACATTTTCGATATATTTTATCACAAATTCACATCATTGATATCCAATAACAAAGGAATAAGCTGAAGATTAATGAAAATGTTACCCTGACATCCATTCCTTTGCGCAGTGCCCCTGCGTGTAGCCGCCCAATAGCAATGCGTCCTTTATGCTCATCATACTCGATATTTGTGGCCTGAAAAACCATTAGTTCCATACAAGTAAATATCTACTGAACTCAATTAGATTGTCTAATTCAATGAAATTTGTTTTACATTTTAGTTTGAGAAATATCCCAGTGCATTCCAATTTATTGAAATTTTGGCATATATGCAAGGACGCTACTGATGAGAAATTCATCAGTATGACCCGGTGTGGACCCAGACACAAGTCACAAATTGTTTTGTTATTTGGGAGTGCCATTGGATCATTAGTATCTTGGATTCGAAGCATGTATTAGAGAAAGTGACTGGTTTTAGTTGGTGGAGACAAGTTTTTTGTGTGTAAATTTTCGGCTAGGAGATGAAAGGATAAATATCCATTGGCAGTGACTGGGAACAAGCATATAAAAAATGAAACGAATAAATAATCACAATAACTCACAAGCATCTGAAGTGCACCATCTTTATTAATATTTGGCCCAGGTACACATCTAATTATAGCCTCGAACAGGGGTCCCAGGTCTTCTGCAAGGTCATCTGGCGAAAGCCCTGCCTTTCCTTTAATCCCACTAGCATATATCGCTTGGAAATCACACTACACGCCGCCCAAAAAAAAAACAGTAAGGTTAGTATCATATACTTAGACTCAAAGTATTTGAGTCACGCGAGATACCACACAAAGGACAGACAAATCCAAGAATACCTGTTCATCTGTAGCGTTTAGTTCAATGAATAGTTCAAAAGTGGAATTGACAACAAACTCAGGACGAGCAGAAGGCCTGTCAATCTTGTTTACGACTACAACAACTGCATGCCCAAATTCAAGAGCCTTCTTCAACACAAACCTTGTCTGAGGCATGGGTCCCTCAACAGAGTCCACCTAAGAAACAAGGGAGTTAGGGGAGGAAAATGAGATATACAGAGCTAAAAGTTTATTCTAGAGAGCATTGAGACAAAGCAACATATTACCACAAGAAGCACTCCATCAACCATGTTCAGAACGCGCTCCACTTCACCCCCAAAGTCAGAGTGGCCGGGAGTATCTATGATATTTACTTTAGTATTTTTGTAAGTGATGGATGTATTTTTGCTAAGAATTGTGATTCCTCTTTCACGCTCAAGGTCATTCGAGTCCATGATCCTCTCTTGCATGACTTGGTTATCTCGGAATACCTTCAAAGTAAAGTATGGAATAAGAGAGAATTTCAATTATTACATTGAAAAACCGACGACTAACTTTCTCTGAGTTTAATTAAAACCGAATGCCATTTGCGATTCAGGTGTTACCTTAGCTTGCCTGAGCATAGAATCAACCAAAGTGGTTTTCCCATGATCAACATGAGCTACAATTGCTATATTCCTCACGTCATTCCTCCTCACCAATTGCTTCTTCACCTCTATTGGCATAACAAGAGTGATTTTGTTCAGAGGACCAATCAAGTAATCAAACAAATGAAAAGGTAAAGAAATCAAACAAAGTGTAAAATTCTAAAAACTTAACTGATAATAAAAATTATCCTCAACAAATCACCCATTTTCTTATTTTGTTCTACCAAATTGAAAGCCAAATAAAAGGAAAAAACTAAAGTCGTTCCTTTCACAAAACCGAAATCAATTTGAGGAAACAAAAGAGACGAGAAGATAAAAAGACAGTAAATGACCGGAGGATGGTTCGGCGGTTGAAGGAGTGACGGAGCAAGTGATGGGACGAGGAAACGGACGACGGGAAGGAAACCGGAGAGCACGTGCTGCCGGTTTAAGCGCGGAAGCAAAGCTGACACCGAGCACTTGTTGTTGTTGCTTGTGAAGCAAAGGAGAAGCTGGTCTTCTCGAAGAAACCGCCGGAGAAGCGGAGGAAGTGCTCAAGCTAAGCTCCATTTACCCCAATTCTCTCCGTCGCGTAACAGAGAGAGAGAGAGGGAAAGAAGCAAAAGGATTTTATTTGCTTGGAGAGGAGAAGCTCTTCTTGTTTTTATTTCCAAGAGGATTTTGTGTAAGACTGCGCAATTACAGTAGACGGACCAGGTTAAGCCACGTCTCCACTAATCGACTTATCGATTCCCCAACTAGACCCAGACCACTAAGGACCGGTTAAGTATATGGTTGCCTAACCACAACTCATAACGAGCTTCACGGTCAAGAGCGTGAGGTAGAGGATATTTTCTGCATTTCAAAACTGACTTTTATATAAATTCTACATGATCCTACAGTAGTTTGAATCATTGCTCTACACTATGTAAAAGCCTTACATTTATGCTTTCGAATTCACCAAGACGAATAACACGGCGCAGCAAGTTTGCCATTATAAGTGGGACGAAACATTGAATGGAATCTGTATAATTTACATCAATAAGAATATAGAGAATAAGCTATTTGAGAATACTGGACCAGGGACCTTCAAACCAACATCACCAAAAAATATCATTCTCAGCCTTCTTGTGACTTGAGC